TTTTTTTTTGCCAAATTGTGCAGTCATACAAACAAGCACAGAAAACCTGGAATAAAAAATAAAATAAAATAAATAAATACAAAAAAAAAATCGCCACTTAAATCAGATTTTTTCCCAAATCGTGCAGCCTTAGTGTATACTGCATAGTAAGTTTTCAAAGGCCACCAAACAGGCTCTCCAAAGTGCCTTCATCAAAATTCAGAGTCGCTCTATTATTCTCTGAGTGAAAGGCATAATTTTGCGGTTCTCATTAGGCAACACTCAAATGTGAGCGTGTTCTGTGACCTCTAAAGACTGTGGCTTAATTGCCTCTGAAGTAAATGGCACAGTGTCATGCTTCAGCACTGATCAGATGATCATCATAACCTCTGGGGCTTTTCAGACCCGATTGGAGATCAGAGACAAACCAACAGAACGGTTTCACTGACGAATCCCACTGCTGAGGCTGCAAACGCGTTACACATACAGCACGTTGTGTCACCAAAGCGACTGTAAGCTATTAAGTTGCCAATTTACGGCGACACGAGCAGCGACGAGCGCTGCTGATGTTTAGTGTAAGTCAAATCTATGCTGTGACATGATACAGCATAGGACTGGTACTGGTGAAATATTCCTTTGAAACCATGTTTAAGTAATGGGAGACTGTGGAAAGGATGATAAAGATAAAGCAGCGGAGGACAAGAATAGATGCTGTGGACAGGATGAGCAAAGACAGGCAGCAACATGAAGAGATAAGAGAGAGAAATATTGAGAGGTAAAGATAGACAAACAGGAATAGACTGTGGCCTACTTGCCCTCATGCCGCCTAACTAGTCAACACTGGTACACAATAACACACCTATGTAGTGCAGACACACTTCCCTCAGCCAGAAACCCACAGGGAACAACACAAACCAGATGAGATCAGACAAAAGCAACAAAAAAGCTCATAAAGGCTTTAACACCTCAGGTTAACGTGAAATCAAAATCGACAGTATTTACAGTATTGTTCAAAAGCTTGGGGTCTGAATTATTTTTTTAAATAAATTCATAGTTTTACTCAACAAAGACGCATTAAATTGATCAGAAGTGACAGTAAAGACATTTATAATTATTAAATATAATTACAATATTTTTCTAATTCAAATAAATGCAAATTTAAACTTTCTATTCATTAAAGAATCATGAAAAAATGTAAGTTTCCACAAAAATATTAAGCAGCACAACTGTTTTCAATATTGATAATATTTTACATTTCTTGAGCAGCTAATCAGCATATTAGAATAATTTCTGAAGGATCATGTGACACTAAAGACTGCAGTAATGAGTACTAAACTAAGTTCTCATTCACACACATGAGTTACAAAAACAGTCGGTTATGTCTGTGAAGGTATACAGCTGGGAAATAAATCGCATGTTTATTTTAGATCTGTGTGGCAGCAGCAATATACAGTAAATAAATCAATAAATCCACTGCTCTGTTGTCTCTTCTGAGGCTGTGACTCTAAACAGTGTTCTGTACTCGTCTGTGCAGCCAAAGACAGAACAGTTTGCATGTTTTGCTCAAACTTTCACCATGACATTAGAACTGGTACACCATTGTCGCTTGCAAAGTCAAAATGACTGCGCCGTGGGTGGAAACTTACAGATTAAGGGGCGGTAATATTATAATGAGATCCCTTTGTGACGTCACTAGGGGAGCGAAATCAGACGCACTCGTTTTCTCAGACGCTTGCAGAAAAAGGCTTCCCAAAACAAAGTTACTGGGTTCATCTTTTTCACGTTTCCTTGGTTGGTAGATGCACCGGGGACCTGATTATAGCACTTAAAACCTGGAAAAGTCCGATTTTCATGGTATGTCACCTTTAAAAAATGTCCCTACTACTTGGCAGATATCACTGAAATCGGAGTCCTGATAACAATAACAAATCAGGCCCTGACAAAAACAAGCAGATTCTCACATGCTTTCACAGAAGCGCGCCAGTGTGCTTGGTTTCTCCTGGTTGCGTCGTTGTCTGAACCAGCGCTGGATGGTCCTCACGTCCCAGTCCAGCTGCTTGGACAGACCCTCTAACCTCTTCTCATCGGGGTGCTGAAAGACACAGCAGACAGAAGCGTGTCACTGCAGAGATCCGCCACTGTTAGAGCACAAACAAACCGCCTCAATGTGGATTTAACAGCTTGAAAAAATTCTCTATACACATTTAAAACCATTGTCTTTAAAAAGCCATCTGCACATACGAGCCAGCGAGACTCGCGCATAATCACACTGTGCAATGTACTGCTGCGCAGGCATGCTGTAATGTCTTGAGTAGTGGGGTTTCCATTGTGAATGAACGAATCTTTCAAGTCATTTCAAAGCATTCTCAGTCATTTCCTTGCACTAATTCGTAATTCCCTCCTTTCTAGGCACGTTTCATTGATTTTTCGAGCTCACTGAACCCCTTTGAACTTGTCAGAATGACTCCGAATGGCACTGAAGAAAATGCAAGCAGAACGAACGAAGCGTTTCATTGACGAATGAGGATCTGCTGACCATCAATGACTGAACAAAAGGGGGGCCATATGTTCATTCAGTTCACATGCAATTTTATTCAGTAAAACAAGGAGCGTTAGGAAAATGAAAGCAGAGTTTGGCACATAATCAGGTTTAACAGGTGTGCAAAATGCATTATGCACAATTTATGAATCTGTATAAATGGCTGATGATTATACACAATTAGAATGACGTCAATTGCGAGCATAATAGTTAAATTATTATCCAAGACTCTCAGAAAAAATGGTACAAAAGCTTTCACTGGGTCGGATTCTTTTCAAAAGGTGCACTTTTGTACCTTATCTACCCTAAAAAGGTACCTTAAAGGTATATATTTGTTACTAAAAATTGCATATTAGAAATTAAATGGTACATACTTGTACCTTTTGAAAAGGTTCTGCCCGAGTGGCAGCTTTTGTTCCTTTTTTTCTGAGAGTGCAGCACTATTAAAGGACATTACTGAAAATCGTAATTTATTTATTTGGCTACAGGATTTTGTTTATAGCTTGATAAAATAAGGGGAGGGGGGTCTTCTCTGTTGACATTTGTGAAGAAATTATAAAAAGACCTATTGTTGATATGTTGAATTAATAATAATGCAGAATAATTGGCTTGTTACGACTCAACAGAACAATGTTGTTGACTGAATCTGCTGAGTGAATGATTCATTCACTTACAGAAAGAGTCATTTTGTAAAAGAATCAAAAGATTTAGTCAGTGGGTTGAATCAAAATCCCCACTACTAGTCATGTTTGAGATTTTATACTTAATTATCAGTGGTAGAGCATTGCGTTAGCAGCGCAAAAGGTCGTGGGTTCGATTCCCAGGGAACACACATACTGGTAAAAATGTATAGCCTGAATGCACTGTAAGTCGCTTTGGATAAAAGCGTCTGCTAAATGCATAAATTTAAATGTAATTAATTTTTTTAATATTTTACATATACCACATATAGTTTTTACACATATTTTACAATAAGGTCCCATTAGTTCATTCTATCTAATATTAATAATATAAAATGTAATTCTATATAATGTAATATTAATGTTAGTTATACAAACTAATAATGAGCAGTACACAAATTATTGTATTTAATAATTATTGAAAAGTCAATTTTTAAATTTTACGCAAAATGCGAGTTATTCTGTCATGTTTTCTCCCTTTCTTTCCAAACTGCGACAAACGCCAGTCTCCCTTCTCTGCAGAATGCGATATATCCGCTCAACCAATCACAGCGCACCATTCCACGCACTGTAAACTGTAACAACCAATCACAGCGCACCATTCCACACACTCTAGACACCCGGCATCCTAGTTTTCCTCATCTACTTTGTACTTTGTGATCAACAAACAAACTTAGGGCTTCATGATAAATCGCACTTGATTGTCATGCGCATCTCGTCAGTAAAGCCGGTTCTGTGATTAATAGTAAATCTCCATCACGTGCTTTCAGATGGAGCGGCATTTAATACACAGAGCCGTAGATCACTGCAATATCGCGCTCATAATCGCAGATGAGTCGCATTCGATTATGAACGCGATATTGCGTAGCTTGTCAGTGTAAATGTTTTTATTAATGCCATTTATGTTTTTGTTAATACAGCGTATAGCACTAGTCAACTAAATTAATATAACATGGCAAAGATGAATGCACTTTTGGAAGTTGAATGTAAGGGAAATGTCATTTTGGAATTTCTGTGGTTTAATGTGATATTGTTGTTCATGTATGTTCATGATGAAATTTTCTTTTATTGCTGTAATTAATTTATAGCCTTAACAAGATGACCCGCTGAATTCATTTTGGGAGCAATGACTGATTGAATGTATTTTTAGTCCAGTGCCTGTAACTATATAAGATTAGTATTGATGAAGTTCAGAAGCTGTCATATGTGGATTAACCATGTTGTGTATTTTCAACAGTTTCAATATGAAAAATAACTTTTATATTGATTCAATGGATTTATTGCATTTTGAAAAAAAAAAACGTGTCATGGATTTATTGCATTTTGGGAAAAAAAAATAATAACATTTTATAATAAATCTTTGAAAATCTAAATCTGGATTTGAATTTTTAATGTTATTATAACCTAAAGATGCTATGTGAAAGTTTGAAACAGAAAATTGTGGTTTTCACCTTGCCACTTTCTTGGTGAAGAAAACACATTTTTACTCAAATTAATCAAAATGAATTTATAGCGTTTTGGAACCAAACTCTTCATATGGTCATTACTGCAAAATAAATCCCTTCAGGTTGATACAAGACCTCTACGCTTTGGCCAAAACAATCTATTTTTCTGAAGAAAAATCTAGATGAGTTTCGCCCTGAGGTCTCTCTGTCTCTGCATAGCTCCGTTTCAGGCAGGAATTGTCTTTTTATTCTTAACGTGTGCCTGGATGTCATGTATTCGAGAATCTGAACATTTGTCAAGGAAACTTAGATCTGTTGTGGCTAAAAATAGTGCCGGTGCGTCAGCACACATGAGCTCTGATAAAGCCACACACGTCAAAGAGCCACGCTATCGCTCTGAGACTGCGATCAGCTGTACCGTCAATCCACACTGCTGTCACCATCAAGAGCACGCGCCTTCTTTCAAGACAAGGGCTCAAAAAGGTGAAACATTATTCTTCTCTTATATGGCAACCTCTGCTCTGCTTTAGTTCAGAAGTTCACGCTGTGGATTAAACTCTGTCGGCCTCATTCCCAAATGAACATCAGTAAGAGCACTTACATTTGATTCAAGATAAATGAACTCACATTATATACTGATTCAACTCAGTGGAGGTGATAGTAACTCCAAAAAAATCACAGTACCATAGTGAATGTGTTAAGAACAGTTCTGTTCACTTACACTAATGTGATTCGCTGTAATCGAGGCGCCTCTCGTTTCAGTGACTGTGAGAAGAGCTTGAATTTGATTCTGATTCACAGTCTCTGCAGGTTTTAATCATGTCACTGCATAATTGAACAAATCTTTAAAGATAAATGGCTGATAAAAAGCTTTTCATCATCAAGCATCATTCAGCACCAGCAAGACTTTTTTTTTTTCTTTTCTTTTTTTCCCCTTATATACTACAATAAAGTCACATAAGTCATAAGTCAAAGTTCATGTTTTTGGATTATCACTGTTGTAAATAAAACTTCACTTGGGTTCTCTACATCACCATCCGTGTCTGTTTCGTGTGAGCATCGTTACACCTACCGGGAGGTACAGTATTAATGCACAAACACAGCTTGTTCTTCTTAAAGTGACAGTAAAGTGAAAAAAGCCCTCACTCTCATGTTGTTATAAACCTGTATGAGTTTGTTTCTTCTGTTAAACACTAAAGACAACAAAGACATCTGGAACATCACAAGGGTGAGAGAATTTTTGGTGAACTGTCCCTTTAAATGCAACTTAAACAGGCAGGATAAAAAATGGATAAGTATCAAAATATCAGATCATTACGCCTCGTAAATGCAGCCTAGAAGACCTGTCTCTGTCTATTATGCCATTAGTATAAATGAAACAACAATATTGACAAGATAAAACACTCGCTTCTCTCGGATGGATAACTTTGGTAGCTCAATAAGACATTTTAATCTAAAACATAGAAGGAACATTTTCAGCTCATTTAAATTACAGACCAGTACGAACACATTATATTTAAAGACCCCTGCAGTGAAAATCACATTTTTAGCATTTATTACATGTCTATCTGGTGTTTTTAATATTTATCAATCAAAATATTTACTACTTTTAACACTTAACATTACTATTTTCCACCCGATGGCACTATTTTCTAAGGTCTGACCTATGGAACGAATTATTATTATTATTATTATTTTCCTGTTTCTGCTGAAAAAAGGACAAAAGAAATGATGAAATTGTAATTGTGTGGGTGTGTTGGTATGGACATCAGAGTGTGGTTGTGTGTACAGAGAATTTCATTTATTTTTAAATCTGACACTGCACAAAAAAAATAATGCATCAAAAATTAAGTTTGTTTCTAATTATCCAGGAATGTAGCAGACCTGCCAACCTTTGAAATTTTTTTTTGAGTACAATCAGTGTGACCGGGGGGAGGGGGGGTGTGATATGGGGTGATACCTGGGGTCATATAGCCTATTCCTACATTACTTGAAGCTCCTTGAAGGCTAATGTCAAATCGTAATTGCACAATGTGCAACATGCTAGACTTCATGTTAAATATTTTTCATAGGTTAGTACTCAGAGTCTGCACTCAGTTTGTGATATTCCTGTTATACAGTATTTTAGAGTAAACAGTAGGAATGCAACAATACAGTTAACCCAAGGTTCAATAAATACCTCAGTTTTTTTAACCAGTTTTCAGTTTGGTTCTGATTAGGGATGTAACGATTCACTCAACTCACGATTCGATTCGATTCACGGTTTTGATTTCACGATTCGATTCACGATTTATTTATTTTTTTTTACAAAATGAGACAAATTATAAATTAAATGTGTCCTTTTATTATTGCTTGGACAAAATGCTGCACATTTCTTAGTGAAATTGAAATGTAACACTATAATAATATACGGGGGGGGGGGGTTCTAAGATTTTCGTTTTAGAGGGGCTCAGC